TGGACATGTTATTACTGGGGATCTTAACATAGTTCAACATGAAAATCTCCGAAAGGTGATTTCTCATGGTCTTAAGTTTAGAGAACCCCAACACATCAATTAGAACCATAACTTCAAAATAATTATAGATTCTAATGATGACTACACCAGAACATGGGCTTAACCAGAAGAAGTTGAACTAGACACCTTGTCAGAATGGGTAAAATCAAGCCGGTCTCTGATAAAAAGTCGCGTTCATAAGTTGAAAAACTGTGTGAATGATCGACCAAAGACAAAGAGGCTACACAATGTATATTAAAACTTCATGATAAGGATGTTGTTGTTCCTGTGGACAAAGCTTCAAATAAAATTGTCTTTGAATGTAAATCGTACTACTACGAATAGCTTGTAAAAGAATGAGGAACACATGAACACTCAGGTAATCCTACATACAAAGACATATCATTTCACATAGATGAGATTTTGGCTAATCATAAGTCCTTCATAGCATCAATGAACATTACAAATCGGAGGACGTACCTTGTTTGAATTGGATACCTAAGCTTTACAAAATTAATTACAAACAACGGTACATTATCGGCTCATATGCATGTTCCACTCAAGAATTGTCCATTAACATAACTAAAAATTCTGTCCGCAGTGAAAGAAAAGAGAGGGACGAAAGATACCAGAGGGACAGTCAGACTCATAGATCGAAAACAAACTAACAACGTCATGGCCAAAAATAAAAAGACAAACAGACAAATAATAGTACAGATGACACAACATAGAAAACTAAAGACTAAGCAACACGAACCCCACCAAAAACTGGGGGTGATCTCAGGTGCTCCGGAAGGGTAAGCTTCAATGTCCCCCACCTTAGTATCAATATACCAACTTCACCTGCAGAAGGAATATACATTTTCCAACTGCAGCTCCTTCTCAAACTTTGAAAAACGTCACCATGGTCTGATCAGAAAGTTGATGAACCAGGTGTATGTCAAGAACGTCTTGTCCTTTTCTGAAAAAAAGAAGGAAGGTACCAAGACCTGGTTGATAAATATTCACAGCTTCACAAATAATACACGATGGTCTTGAAGTATAGATTATTCGTACTTACGTTGTTAATAATCTAAATACGTGTTATAGTGTTCTTTTATTTGTCTTATTTAATATTGTTTTTACTGTTTAGTCTGTTTTGGGTGATATCCATTTGACGTGGCTCTGTCATTGTGTTGTTTGCATTATCTTTCATATGTGCTTTGTCCGTGCAACTAAATGCCGTCATTACAATAAATCCATTGGATGTTTGATGTGAGCTGTTGAAAGTCTTTGCATGTGTATTGATATTGGCTTTTAACAAGTTGTCAGTAACTGCAAGTACTCTCAATTTTTTTTTAAATACGTACATTTTGTTGTGGAAGTTCTTTCTTATAATGCCGAATCTTTTGTTATATTTCTAAAACAAAACTAGACTTGCTGCTATATTGATGCCTTTTTTCTTACTTCTATTCAGGATAAATATCTAGCAAAGAAAAACACATATACTTGTTATGTACATACAATTGAGAATCGAAATGGGGATGAGTCAAAGAGGCAACGGTCCGATCAGAGCAGAAAACAGCCGGAGGCTACCAATGGGTATTCAATACAGCGAGAAAATGCTACACCCGGAGGCGTTCTTCAGATGGCCTCTAAATACATATGTTTGCCGTGTAAGATGAAACAACAAGAATCAACCACCCAAATTTAAACAAAGAAATAAATACAAACTGGTGAATTGATTTCGATAACACGTTTGTACAGGTGGGATTGTATTTAATATTCACTTTTTATAATTGAATAGCATATGAATATTTAATAAATTACTTGTCACTTTTGTTTTGAATTTTGAGATTATATAGCGACATAATATGTAGCATGGAACGTAGAACTGACGTTTAAACATTGTGTTCGAAGCAACAATGATCATGTATCGATACATTACATTTCATAAGGAATTTAGGCAGACTGGGAGCCAGCAATTATGAAAAGGGGGTGTTTCAAACCACGGAACACAATGACACGTTCGCATCATTGAAAACAAATGTTTGTTTACGAAAAGTTTCAACCCTTGTTACATTCACAATCCTTCACTGGATCCTCCAATGTTAGGCAACATATTTAAAACGAAAATTATGGAAAATGTGACTCTGATTCAAATGCTCAACAATGAGGAATAAACGTTACTTTTGTGTAAAAGCAATGTAATATTTTAACATAATATTAACATAATTTATTAATAAAGTATAACATGACTTTTAAATCAGATAGTCCAGTTCTTTGGTGCATACCCACTTTTTCATTTAAAATATCAAGCGATTTCAATATGACACTATATAATATAAATAATGTAATTCTCATTTAAATGAAATATTATCGTCTGACAATCAAAAGTGAACAAAAAACGGTTTTGTTGTACAAAGTCCGGTTGTTGTTATGATATTTTTAATATTGACAATGCATTACATTAGTTAACAAAAATTACTATCACTTTACGCATTATAAATTTATGATTATTTTTTTTGAAATCTTTAAATCAGTCAACAAAAAAGAAAATTATACAACAGGATATTGAAATGTGTTCACCTCGTGTCAGGTTATCCTAAATTACATTTATATATGATATACCCATAATGTGCTTACAGAGTGTGAAATTACTTTATAGATCATTCGGTTTTCCTGTTTACATACAAACTTGTCATCTCATCTTTAGAATTAAACGGCTTGAACATGACACTTTTAAATATGAATATTGTGATTTTAAATTAAATGAAGTTATATCGTGTAATAAGTTGGTATACTATCTATATCATTGGAATTGAAATTAACTTTTAATTGCCTAAGGGATTATACATTTATAATGTCGAGGATCCTGCAGGTCAAATCACAAATTGTATGAACATTTTGGATGTAAATAAATCAGTCTGACGTTGGGTATTTGTCAGCATAGATTTGTTAAAAATTTGACATGCCATTGTCCGCTTATATTTTATGAAACAAAATGTTGTATATATAAAGTCCAGATGTGTAAATTTCTTTTTTTTTAGTTTGTAAGGATGCATGTAAAAATATCGGTTGATTAACGACGCTACTTAAAGTGTTGTAACCTGAAGATATCATTAAAAAAGTATACTAATAAATAAAGTTATAGGTTTGGTTCAATGTTTAATTGATGAAAATTAATGCCATTTCTGTATACACGATCTTTTGTATGGCATATCACCAAAAACTAGATTTATCCTATCAGAATGAAACTTCACTATAATTTGGCCATACAGTTTTGAATTGTATTTTAAAGGTACTACCCTTATATGAAAATATAAAGGTACTACCCTTATATGAAAAAAACTTGCATTGTGTTATAACACTCTTGTTGTAATAAGTATAAATACAGCTGATAACATGTGCGTCTTTAATATACGTCTTTCACCTCCCCCTCCTTTTCGTTTCACACCTGACACGCATTCTCATATATGTTGAGCGGTATTCCATTAAAGTTTTTTTATCAAAAGTAAATATTTAGACAGATTTCATAAAACTGAATGAGAAGTGTGAAATTATCAATTGTATAACCTTCGGGTTTTTTTTTAATTCAATATATTTCATTGAATACATATAGATTCTACCACTGCATCGAGTGTGATATGATATTTATCCACTCGAGACAGTTAAATTTAACTGTCAAGAGTTGATAAATATCCTATTACACGAGATTGGGTGGTGGAATCTGTTTCTCTAATGATTTTCAAACAATACACAGGCAAACTTATTCCTTCTTTTCGAATGACCTGCAAAAAGATGTGTTCTTTTTATGTGACGTCATCAGGCATGGTCGCCTTTTTCCATGCCTAGACAATAGGAAATTTAGAGGAAAGCAAGAAAATTAGACGTCATGATCGGATTTTAACCAATGAGGTACTGAGATCAAACGAACCACACGTTCATTAATTTTTTTGTTATACAATGGGTGCAAAAGGGATAAATTGAGGAATAATTAGAGAAAGATATATAATGATGTCCTGTAATTGAAAGCAAGATGAAATCCCTCAAATGGGAGTACACACTTTGTTCTTTATGTGTTTATGACATCAAATTACGCTTTTTTTACCTCAGGAATATATTATCTGAGCTGTATTTGGCAACACTTTTAGTCATTTGTTGTCCTCAATGCTCTTAAACTTCGTACTGTATTTGGCCTTTTTATACTTTTTTGTTTGTAATGAGCGTCATTGTTGATTATTTTGAAGAAGAAAAGCGCGTCTGACGCAAATACAATATGCAATCCTAATGTCTATGATGAGTTTATTTTAAGCCTTACTGGCGAAGGTAAACCATAAAGAGCGCTACGGATGCATTAAATTTATAGCGTGTGTTTTCATATGTTCCTCACTGCATACCATAGCCACCATGCAGTATAATGTTATTATAGTGTATTGGTTTATTTGAATATTTCATATGCCATATTCTAAGGCATGTTGGTTGTTAAACATCAACACTTTGTCTCTTTTGTATTTCCTATTCTTCTTAAAATTATTTTATTTGCAATCTTAATGGAGATTGATACAAACAAAACATACTTGTGAGAGAGCTGTCTATTTGGGGTTGTTTTTCAACAAAACCAGGCCATTTTGTTAGTTGTTTGATTGTCAATCATTAAATATTCCAATCAAGATGTGTTTAAAAGAAAAAGTTGGTGGTCCTTCAATATCGAACCAATAAATGAAACATGCAAGTGTTATGGGACGAAAACAACTATATTTGAGATGAAAAAGAAAATGTCAAATATGGATCTTAATTTACGGAAAATGATATATAAATTATACAATGTTTACATTTACTAAACGTTTTTTTATTATTTTCTAACTAGATTGGACGAACAAAACAACGAAATTGTAATAGTAAACCCGTTCATAAAATGGGAATCAACTTGTAGTATCCTTATCTAATGTTATTAGTAATATAGATTGTATATGGTTTTACGACTGAATGAGCATTGAGGTAATTATCGATTGTATAGCCGATTCCCGGGTTTTAAATGGTCTTGGTTACAATATTTGTCATTGGATAAAGACCAACTATGTTGTCATGTAATAAAAAACCATAAAGGGTAGATATAAAAGCCAAACGAGTGAGGTTTACGGGTCTTATCATTTGAATTAATGATGTTGAAATACTTGCATTGACGAAAATGGGAATACGAATATTGTTATTCATGTGTTTATTTACACTCTGCATACCACTGGCGTCATGTATGTATATTGCTATATTATATTGTATTATTATAATATCTATCATGTCTATCTTGTATATTCTGACGCGTTTTTGTTGTAAAACATCAAATATGTGTTTACTCTTTCGATCTATATGTTCTTGGAGTAAAGATAGTTTCCCATCTCAAAAGTACCTCTACTGGTGCATTTTTGACATTAAACGTACATTCTTAAGTATGTTTTAAATGGTATCGAGGACATCATTATTTTTAATGTATGCAAATTATTGTATTCCTCCGGCACCTTACCTACAAATCATAATAGAAAAATTAAAATAAAGGAAACAAAAACCAAAATTTAAAGAAACACTAACAAAAACAGATATTTTTATATTTTGTTTAACTGAATACATATGTTAAATTAAGATTTTGGCTTTAAACCTCTACTTTATGAAACGCATATATGGCGTATCAAAAGTATAACAGTGTGTTTTTTAACGAGGACATGAAACTTTGGAATATAACAATGCAAGACAAAATTTGATTGCTATGCGGTACTGACGTGCAACATCTATATCAAAAGGACATATTTGTACATATTTGTTTTTTTGCAGAATGTGTTTAAAAATGTTTTTATGTTTTATGACAGTTATACCGAGAGTGCATTTACATTGCTGTACGTATCTTTTTATTTATTTTTTCATGGTTTCGGTGGAACATTGTGTTATGTCGTATCGTTTGTTGTCCACAAAATTAAAAAAATGCCTTTAAATACACTCCTTGTCATATTCCCGAATATGACTGTTAAACTGAATAAGAATTGTCATTGTTATGCGACGTGTCTCGCTTTTATGTACAATCAGCATTCATGGATTTATATTTTGATGTTCATGTTATGCTTTCCGTTGGACAATATGTTATGTCTTATCGTTTGTAGCTCAAAAAGTTATTAAATTGCATTTCCATACTATGATTGTCATCAACATTATTTGAATGAATATTGTAAGGTAATTGTATAAAATACGAGATTGCATGACAGTTTCGTAAGAGCGTTACTATTTTTGTAATCATTTGGTATGAATCACTGGTGGAAAATTTTCGTTTTTCTTTTGCGGTGTGTATGTTGTGTCGACTTTGATATGAAATGTAAATTTATAAATGTTGTCTACAGATTATAGTGTAACATTTGCGGATTGCAAGGTATACGCCGGTGAAAGGAAAAGGAAGGCTTACCAAACATATGTGCGGCAATAGATCAGAAATCAACCACAATGCAAGAGATATGTTTACAAGCATTTTAATCAGCCTAATCATTCCATCGTTTCTATGACAGTTCGCATTATTTTAAAAGATATACAATACGTCTAACAATACTAATCTTGCAACGCCTCTTCGTTGACAAATAGAGGACTACTGAGTTCGACAAAGGTGGCTGCAATGACAAAATTGATGGAATAGGTATTATATCCAGTCCTTTCTGTAGCTCGGTGAATGTGATGAATAATTTCAACTCTACTTCTCGATGTAGATGTAGCCATGTTTATCATCATTATACATCACCTATTCTTCGTGATGTCTCTTGCTGCTATTTACAAACAAAAAGATTAAAAATCGAAGAGATATTGTCTTAAATTTTTCATTTGCCAACAAAGATATCGATGGCGTCAACTTCGGCAATATCCTTAATCATAAATTAGTTCAATTGTTAATACCTCATCATTTTAAAGATATCTCTGTACCAATTATTTCTTAGACCTATAAATAACCAATTGCAACTAACATTTCCAATTACAAACACGTTTTGCAGGATCTCAATACTGACGATTTCAAGTCTAAACCTCCTGATTGCCCCTGTTCTAGTTCCCAATTCACATATAATCCGGCTGACCACGTTATTACCAGTGAGCTCAACATTGTCAATAACTCTTCCCTGCAACATTGGTTATCCAAAGGTCCAAAATATCGTGAGCCAAAACCAATCAATTTGAAATATAACTTCAAAATACTGATGGATTTAGTCGAAGATTATGTCAGCCAATGGGCCAAGCAGGAGAAAGAAGAATACTCTTTCCAAAAGGATTAAGGCTGTGAGGTCGTTGATACAAATCAGAACTAAGAAACTGAATGGGTCTATCAATGCCCGTGCTACGTCAATCTTTAAAGACCCAAATGTTGCAATCGAAAGGTCCGAAATATCATGAGCCTAAAACCGACAATTAGAAATACAACTTAGAAATGTTGATGGATTCAGTCGGGGATTATGCCAGGCAATGGGCTAAGCGCGAGAAGGAAGACGTAGACACTCTTTCCGAATGGATTGAGGCGGTGAGGTCGTTGATACAAATCAGAATTAAGAAACTGAAAGGGTCTATCAATGCCCATGCTACGTCAATCTTTAGAGACCCAAATGTTGCAAAACACTTATCCTACCTCCATGACAAATATGTTGTTGTCCACGCAGATAAAGCCCAAAGCAACATCGTCTGTGTGTGTAAAACTCACATTAACTGCTTGATAAACGAATTAGGTATTGACACTTCACTTGGAAACTCAACATATACCCTCACAACACTTACCAAAGTGGAAATCCTGTATAATCATAGGTCTGTTCTATGTTCCTTTGGAATTTCAACCAAAGATGAAGAACTGGATCTTCCATCACTGTATTAGATACCTAAACCACATAAGTGTCCTTACAAACAACGGTATATTGCTGGGTTTTCCGAGTGCTCCAGGAAACCTCTTTCTAGATTATTAACATCTATTTTATCAGCAATCAAAGACAGGCTTCAAATGTATTGTAAAACTACCTATTCTAGAGGTGGCGTGAATCAGATGTGGATACTTAAAAAGTCCAAAGATCTTTTAGAGTACATTCAATCTAACTCTCTTTCATCTTGCAATAGTATTAAAACTTTTGACTTTTCTACACTTTACACAAGTATTCCACATTCCAAACTAAAAGACAAATTGAAAGAGTTGGTATTGCTTTGTTTCATAAAAAAGAATGGCCAACGTAGATACAAGTATCTTGTCTTAGGGAGGGATAAATCCTACTATGTAAAGGATCACTCTGATTCAAACAAAAATTCTCTGAAACTGACATTACCAAGATGCTTGATTTTTTGATTGACAACATATTTGTTACGTTCGGAGGACGTGTTTTTCAACAGACTGTCGGCATTCCAATGGGAACCAATTGTGCCCCTCTTCTTGCCGACTTGTTTCTTTATTATTATGAGGCTGACTTCATACAGAAACTTCTTAGGAAGAAAGATAAGAAGTTAGCAATATCCTTTAACTCTACTTTCCGCTATATATATGACGTTCTTTCACTAAATAATTCAAAATTTAGTGACTATGTTGAACGCATCTATCCCATCGAACTAGAGATAAAGGATACAACAGATACAGTTAAGTCGGCCTCATATCTTGACATACATCTAGAAATTTACAATGAGGGTCGGTTGAAAACAAAACTTTACGACAAAAGAGATGATTTCAGCTTTCCAATTGTGAACTTTCCATTTCTAAGTAACAACATTCCAGCAGCACCTGCATACGAGGTATATAACTCCCAATTGATACGATATTTCCGTGCTTACATTCTATCATGATTTTCTTGATAGAGGGTTGCTGCTCACAAGGAAGCTATTAAACCAAGAGTTCCAAATGGTGAAGTTGAAATCATCCCTTCGTAAATTTTACGGACGCCATCACGAGTTGGTTGACAATTATGGAATAACCGTTTCAAAAATGATATCGGTTTATGAGTTTGACTGTCCCTCTGGTATCTTTCTTCCTTCTCTTGCAAAACACTTGTCGTACCTCCATGGCAAATATGTTGTTGTTCCCGCAGATAAAGCCCCAAACAACATCGTTTTTGTATGAAAAACTCATTACATAAACTACAATCCCCTTCCCTTTCATGAATGTGACCTACCGAATTAGGCTATTTACCGGATTTGATATAACATAACCAACACGACGGGTGCTACATGTGGAGCAGGATCTGCTTACCCTTCCGGAGCAGCTGAGATCACCCCTAGGTTTTGGTGGGGTTCGTGTTGCTTATTCTTTAGTTTTCTATGTTGTGTCATGTTTTCTATTGTTTGTCTGTTTGTCTTCTTTCATTTTTAGCCAGGCGTTGTCAGTTTATTTTCGATTTATGAGTTTGACTGTCCCTCTGGTATCTTTCTTCCTTCTCTTGCAAAACACTTGTCGTACCTCCATGGCAAATATGTTGTTGTTCCCGCAGATAAAGCCCCAAACAACATCGTTTTTGTATGAAAAACTCATTACATAAACTGCTTGATAACTATTTTAGGTATAGACAATTCATTTGGAAACTCAACATATACCCTCACGCCACTTACAAGTGGAAATCCTGGATAATCATAGGTGTGTTCTATGATCCTTTGGAATTTCAACCACAGATGAAGAACTGGATCTTCTATCAATGTATTTGATACCTTAACTACATAGGTGTCCTTACAAACAACGGTATATGTCTTGATCTTCCAAGTGCTCGCTCCACGAAAACTCTTTCTAAATTATCATCATCCATTTTATTAGCTATCAAAGCCGCGCTTCAAAGTTTTTGATAAACTGCGAAAGGTGGCGAAAATCAGATGTGGATACTAACAAAATTCAAAAGATCTTTTGGAGAACTTACAATCTAAGACTCGTTCATCCTACAATAGTATTAAAACATTTGAATTTTCTACACTCTTCTCTAGTATTCCCCGTTCCAAACTAAAAGACAAATCAAAAGAGTTTGGTATTGCTTTGTTCATTGAATAGAAATGCACAAAGTAGATACACGTATCTTGTCTTAGGGAGGAATAAATCCTACTTTGTAAAGGATCACTCTGATTCAAACACAAAAAATCTATGAAACTAACATTATCAAGATGCTTGATTTCTTGATTGAAAACATAATTGTTACGTTTTGCGGACGTGTTTTTCAACAGACTGTCGACATTCCAATGGGACACAATTGTGCACCTCTTCTTGCCGACTTGTTCCTTAATTATCATGAGGCTGACTTCAAACAGAAACTTCTGATGAAGAAAGATACGAAGTTATCAATATCCTCTAACTTTACTTTCCGCTAAATAAATGATTTTCTCTGACTGAGTAATTCAAAATTTGGTGACTATAAAGACTGCATCTATCCCATCGAACTGGAGATAAAGGATACAACAGACACTGCAAAGTTCGCCACATATCTTGACTTACATCTATAAATTGACAATGAGGTTCGATTGAAAACAAAACTTTACGAGAAAAATGATGATTTCAGCTTCCCAATTGTGAAATTTCCATTTCTTTGTAGCAACATTCCAGCAGCGCCTGCACACGGAGCATATATTTCTCAATTTTTACGATATTCGCGGGCTTGTATAACCTATCATCATTTCCTTACAAGAGGGTTGCTGCTCACAGAGTAGCTATCAAACCAAGAGTTCCAAATAGTAAAATCAGAATCATCCCTTCGTAAATTTTACGGACGCCATCACAAGTTGGTTGACCGTTATGAAATAACTGTTTCACAGATGATACCGGATATATTCGTTATGTCGTAACTATAATCCCCATCACTTTTCACGAATGTTACCTACCTAATTAGACTTTTTACCGGGTTTGTAATAATATGATCAACACGATGGGTGCCACATGTTGAGCAGAATCTTATTACCCTTCAAGAACACCTGATATCACCCAACGTTTTGTAAGTGTTCGTGTTGCTTAGTCTCTAGTAACGTTTGTGCGCTTTTCTGTCATGAATGTTCATGTGTGCTTTTGTTTTGTGCTGTATTTCTGTGACGTAGTGTTTTAGCAATATTTGTTAACATTGTCATCAAGCAGGAGGTTTGCATGCCATTAAACCAGGTTCAACTAACCATTTTTGTGGACGTCGCATGGTGACGTTTCCGTGCATGTTACCTTTTCCAGTGACACTTTATCTATTGGTGTAAACTGTAAACAATGTGTGCATGTATAGATATATTTACTTATGTTGAAAGACGTGCATAATGGCAAATAATAAAAATACCAACCGTTTAGTAAAAAGAAAGCATGTAAGATATACGCTGTTACTACTGCTAAAAAGGTTCAATTAGGTTACTTGGTGCTATATATGTACCGTGACATTACAAACCTAACAAATGCAAAAAGTTCCTAACTTAGGACATAAGTAAACAAGTGCGGAAATACTTAAGTTTTATGAAATCTCAACTACCAAACTATTTGTAAATTAAAGATGACAAGTACAGATTATATTAAACTTCAACAGCGTTCTTAAAAGTTGTATGGTAAATTAATTGTTAGATAATCTACCTGTATGCATTTTTCGATTGTGTTTCATGGATATCTTTTTTTCATTTTAACCATGTAAATCCATAAAATGAACGGAATATACGTATGACATTTACAAACTATTGGCATGAATGTATACCATAAAGTATCGGGTAATTTTATTATAAGAATGCAATTAGGATACTAATATAAACGTTTTTTTCAGCTTCCTGTGGAAAAGTTTTGTTCTCGACTTGGTTTACAGTAAAGGAATTTGATGTTGACACACGCAATGTGACTGTTCTGATTGACTCTGGATTAAGTGGTGTGTATGCTATGGACTACGATTACGAAAACAGATATGTGTATTTCCCAAAATACAGTTCCGAAGAGATTGTGCGGTATGTAAACAATTGTTAACTGATATTAAAATAATAAAAACAGTTAATGATACTAGTTTTCAACAGTTCAAGAATACAACCATGTATATGATGTATATACCATTTAAAATTGTAAGAAAAAAATAAATAAACATTAATACGTTTTAAGTTTTCATTCACGAACTCACATATTTGTTGTCAACACAGATTTATTTTCAAACAATAAATATTCATTACTCATTTAACTTTTAATTCTACATATGTCAGCTATGTGCAAATCTCATTATACATGTAGAAAAAATAGTATACAAAAACTGAGAAGGATCATTCATATTTCAAAATTCAAAATTCATAATTCATAATTCTTAATTCTAAATTTTGAATTCTAAAATATAAATTCAAAATTCAGAAATCCTACATTTTGACATATATTTATGTTTCCACGCGTCAACGAGATAGAAGAGTGTGCTTTGATACTATGTCGAAAACTATGTTATAACGTTTATTAAGAGCAAGAATCCCTTTAAAACAAAGCGAGGTTGCGTAAAACGTTCTTATATATGGCTTCAAATTCACTATTATAAACACATGATATGACAGCAAGTGTTCAAGAAGCAAGCCTCTATCAGGACAGGAGAAGCAAGCAATAACTTTTGTCATTTTTTCTTTTGAAATTGAACAACAACATTCATAAAGTTAAGTTACATTAAAGGATAAGAACAGCTAATCAAAAACTAAGTTTAGAAAAAATATTGTACGCCAAGAATCGATAAATATTAAAGAAAAGTATAAACAAAGCACATAATTCATATCAACAAGTTTGATAATACTTTAACTTTTAAAAGCGTTGCATGTACAAACTGCTATAAAATATTTGCAAACAGTTTTCACTGTTAACGATCTTGGTACGCCAGGTTATCGGTTATAGACATCAATTTACTTAAGAAAGGAGATATGTCGCAAATAAGATGACTAGTGAGGTGCATCGATATTATATATTTAACGTATAATCATAACTATACGATATTAGGGTGGGTCAGATCGTCCTGTGAGATAACGTTTTGTGCTGGTGATTTGGTCCTGACTGATGCTGGTGATAATCGAAAATTTATAAACAAATACGAAAATTATAATTTTTTGTCGTTTTCTTGGAAAACAACAGAAGGAAATAGTTGTGAAATTTTAGTTTTGATTCTTATGGGTTCATAAGCAAACAATTAAAAATACGACCCTCGAAAATGTTACAATAAGCGTAACACACAAGAGCTATTTTAAGAACATCTAGACCTGAAAGAACAGTATAAACAAAGCACATAATTCATATTATGCTAGTTTGCATAGTTTGCTCGCCTGAATCAAGCCTTGTCTTTCAAATTGGAACATACCCGTACATAGAAATGTCTGTGTTGATTAACAGTCGTTTATTTTATCCAACTATCTAATTTCAGGAGGCACAACAAACATAAATATTGATAACTGTTGTTTTACATTACGGAATTTTAATTTTTTTCCAAAATTCGTTGCAAAGTGTACATCAACAGTGGATGTTCAAATAAGTTTTTTTTTCAATTTCACATGAAAAGCCAAGTATGTGTGACACAGCTGGTGGTCACGATTGAATATTAAGGTATATTAACTTGAATTATTATAATACTTTCCAAAAATATCAGATTTACACTTTCGTTCCCTAAACACATGTGAAATACACAAACAATGTTTGAATGAAATAATAATCGACTTCATAATTGAAATCTAGTTCTAGCGCGTATAACTTAAATAACAGTTAGAAATAAGCCACACAGAACACAAGTACAGGAAAGAAAATAAAAATGCAAAATGTGGATTTAAATAGAACGATATAAAATAAGTCGCTTATTGATTAATCAACGCAAAGTGTTTGTATACTTAACACGAGTCTTGTGAACGCATTCGTAAGCATGATATATTTGATAACTTGAAATGGGGTTGTTTGTATATATCCTTTACAAAATATGCTGAACACTATACACCAAAAGAAAAATACGTATATATCATGCTTCTTAATTACCTTAACATTTAAAAAAGTATTCTAAATTTCTAGTAAAAATCCTTGTGTAAATCATTAATCAAGATTAATCGATTATAATTTTTACAGGTAATCATAATTACCATTCATCAACCAAAAATCTAATATATTTAGGTAGCTGTCTGCCTAAGAATCATGCAAACAGTGGCATACTAATGATCTCAGATTTTGATAAAAATTTGCATAACACTTCATATTGATGGTCTAAATTAGCATTCAAAATGAAACTTTCATCAGTCGTTGGTTGCTAGGCAAAATGAAGCTATTTAGTTTCCATAGCAACTTGGTTTGATTTTTTAGGCAAAATCTGAAAAATCACCAATTTATAAGTGAGATTAGAAAAAAAAATTCATGCTTTAAGTAAAAATGTAATTTATTAGATGAAAGATAAATATAAGCATAATACATTAGGCATATATCATAGACAGATAATCTCAAACAATAATTTGACTACTAGCCAAGCATTACATAGTTTTCATTCTTAGAATTTATTGACAATTTCGAAATTTTACAACATATTCATTGGTCCTTTTCTCAAGTTATCTGAAATATTATTTTATATCATGCATATGTCAACAACTATAGGTACTTTGACTTCATAAAACAAAATTCAAATAAGTCGGAAACATACAGCGTTTTCGTTGCTAGGCAACCATAGGATGATCCATTTTTCAGGTTGGTGGAAACAGAACCATACAAAACATACATTTATTACATACTCAAATTGAAAATATGTCTTAATATGTTATCAATTCACCTTTGCATATTCACTATGTAATTTTAATGAGTAAATAAATTATTTAAAATTTCCATAAAGTCACCATGGTAACCAAACTATCCATAGCAACATAACAAAAAAAAAAAGTTTTCTTTTGGACATTTTTCCGGCCAAAAAAACCAACCGTTTTAATATTTTTTGGCACATGATTTTACTTATTAAGCCTATTGACAATCTGTGTTTCATGTGCATTGTATTAACTTATTGTTTGCAATATCAGATGACACCTCTTTATTTGGAACAATTGCCATAATTTATCAACATTTTAATTTTTTGTATTTAATTTTTCCTTTCTAAAACCCCTATTCTTCCGTTCACATTTGTTTTTAATGGAATATAACAAGTGTCCACACTGAAAACTTAATAAATAAATGAAAAGGGCATTGACCTCTCATTTATAAGGCAATATTACCAAGAATTTTCTTTAAACAAAGGGAGTTATTTTGCCAATAATTTTGATTTGTTTTTGATTTTGATATTTTTTCATAACATACTTGTAGTCTCTTAAAATAAGAATCAAATCATGGGCAGAAGTAAATTTCAACAAAGCCTAGAAAAATGCATACTATTTATATGTATAATTAAATCTATTTGAAGTCATTTTTTTTTTTATTTACTTGGAGCCAAAACAAATATAAAATTTGTTTGTACAAGGCTTAGAAACAGGAAGAAATCGAGGCTGTGCTGAGCGTTTCTATCCTGTTTCGAGCCGAGTATAAATAAAATTTATATCGTGAGACAATGTATGATTATTCTCTGTATACTGCAACTTTAAAATGTCTTACAAATGAAATATTTTGGGTAAAAACCAATATTTTGAATTTGAAGTGGACGACGTCAAAATTCCGCGAACCTGTATTATTTATTGACGTCATCAATAAAACTCTATGGAAACACATTGTCAACGTCACAAACAAGGTGATATACGGTCAGTGACTGTATATCACATAAAAATATACTGTCAATGCATTTTGACTGCTCAAATAAAACGATTGCAGTATAAATAAAAATATGGTTTACAACGTCAAAATTTGTTGTCAACTTATTCTATTAAAAAAAGTGAATTTAGCTTTATAATTTTGTAATTATGCTTTTATATATAACTGTGTTAAAAACAATGTGTAACTTAAAAAGAACTGTAGTAGATCTGCGTTCAGTATAAATGATACAACTGAGAACAACTGAGAACACAAATTACACAGTATTATTAAGAAAATCAATGTTAAATTAAAGCTGTTATTTCTTCAATGGCTTCAAATCTCTCGATAAGAGCTACTGCACTGTCAATATCCTTTGATGGCATTTTTTTTTCTGCAGCTAACCTAGAAAAGTAGGATGTAATTTGACAAGCATTCAAGTATTCACTGTTACAAAACATGTTGGTACCATTCTCCAGTGCAACTCTCATATTTCTTGCTACAGTGCCAGCATTCATCTTGTTCCCACTCTTTTCACCATCTTCAAATATTGACTTCAAATACAACTTAACTTTGTCTGAAAATCTCACATGCTTCTTTTCTTTTTTTTTAAGGCCCATCCTTTTTGTTCTTTGCATATATCTTTTGAGATATTAGGTTGAGTACCATCAAATCTACTAAAATTCAATATTTCAGACAAGTTTATACAAGCATCATACCATCTGAGCTTAATTTTGTCATAACTTGACATTTGCTGAAGATTGTAGTTGTGGTCACCAATCAAACAATGCATATGCATATCCATAAATGATGTAAACGTCTCAACACAACCTTCTTGACAACAGAAACAATCACCTGAAGAACTCTGCTTTATGGATCCTTCCACCTTCATTGGAGGTTTAAAATCAGCAATTACTTTCAATGACCTGAAAAAAGTTTATAAAATTCGAAATCATCTTTTTATAACTTTTTTCATGATTATACATGTATGTATTTTAATAAAACATGATTGTGTGAACAGAAACATTACCAATATGGTCTCAAGTCATTAATTGCTATTTATCATATTGGTTTTTGTTTTAACAGTTGTTATTATATGAAACTTCACATACATAATGTCAAACTATCTAAACAGAAGGAATTTGTGTCAATAGTTTAAGGTTGTACTGTGACCTATAGCTGCTTACATCTACATCATTATCATTCATTTGGTAGATTGTGTAAAGTGGTCCATGAATTGATTTTGTGTCATGAATATTAATACCCAAATCCATTCTTTTGAATTATTAATTCACTTAAAAGGGGAACCCGTTGTTTTCATGCTATAGAACATCATAGACAGATAACCTATTATCCAAATCAATGTAAGGATATGCACATTTGCTAGGCAGCTGAAAGACACTAATAACATATACCATGCAAAATATTATTATGTTTAGTAAATAATACCAACCTTTCATCTTGACTGTTCATTTGTCCCTGAACAGATATATTTCTCCCTTGGCCAATACCATATGCTTTCCACATAGTTATTTGCATATTTTCTTGAAATTCTATGTTGGATATTTTGGAGATTCCTTTAATCAGACCAGTTGCTCTATGATCATCCAAAATATTTGTGATTTCCACATGAGCTGCTTGGCATACAGAAACCCCCCCCCCCCCCCCCCCATAGTCATCTATTGCAGACTTCATATCCGAAAAACAAACTACATTTTTTCCATTTGAAACACACTGTCTGATTTTCCCTCTCATGTGTGCAATTTTGGCATCCCAGTATGATTTTCCGCTTTGGGCTTCGCTGAAGTCATATCTTGTTATATAAACTCCTACAAAAAAAAACTATTAAGAAAACTATTTCTTCAATTGTTTCTTTACAATCAGCTATGGACGGTTACCTTATGAACATGCATATAAAAATTAAGCTCTGTGTGTCAGACTAGTACGAAGTTAGGGTCGATATTCCAATCTGATTAGCATGCTCTAGTCCTTAATATTCAGTTTTTATTATCATCTTCTACTCCTATCCATTCACAAATTGTTTGTGTGCATTAAAGTATTTTCAGATAGGAACATCAAATAAGAAAATCAGGTAGCATTTTATGAATACTTATGAAAGGTAAATTCTTAACCTACATACAACATACCTGTCCTTTCACTAATAACAGGAATGGAGAGCCAAAGGTTACCACAATGGTAACAGCCAGCATTGTCACTGCGTAAGAAGACAGTTTTTTTTTATATTTGGCTACTGACTCTTGATGGTCTGCAAAGTATGCTCCAAAAGTGCAGACATAGTGTACCAGTCCTGTTTGGTTGCCTCTACACAATGAGCAAATGTTCTGTGCTGAAATAGAAAAGACATTTTTTAAATATGTTTGCTAGTCATGTTTTGGAATTTTTGTCAGACTTTAGGAATCCTCGGGTTTTATCCATTTGACTGTCATAAATTATTTTGACTGCTAACCCCCAAGTTATCATAAATCTTTTCCTTGTTCAATAATAAGCCATTTTTATAATCTTACAAAATCTTTTCAATAGTTATTTAGAAATGAAACTTGTCAATGACAAGGTTACAAATAATCTAGAAATAACATTTTCCCTGCCAAATATCATTGGATAATATCTCATTGACCTATGATTTGTTTATCTTTTGCTTCCAGATATCTTAATATTTTGACAGAAGCATTGATAACAGTGTTTGGCATATTTTATAGATACATATCTCGAACCACATTGTGTACAATTTGCGTTATTATATCCCTTCTTTGTAAAGCTGAGGTATATAGTGATGGGGAAGTCAGTCCTTCCGTCCGTTCGTCTGTCTGTCCCATACAATATGTTTCATTTTGTATCCGCAACTCCTCCTTAAGGCCAAATTGAATAATATGTGTGTTTCCTATTACATTTTTAAAAAAATTGGGTAGGTAGGTAGGGATTTTTTTTTTATTTTACCATTTTTTGTACATTTATTCTATGGGAGAGACATTCTGACTTTAACCGTGCTTATTGAAAAATGACAAAACAAACTTTAGGGTAGGCTATTTTAAAGCTTAACAAATAGGGAGGGTAGGGTAACAGGAAATACACATTTTTTTTTTTTATTTGGCCTAACCAATTTTCATAATGAAATAAAACTTTCTCAGATTCTTTATGATATAATGCTATTGTGCACCTCCGATTGTATTTTGTTCAAAATCATTTTGTTTATATTTCAAATACATGGACTTTGCCATTGCCTCATAATTGGGGTACACATTTTGTATCTGCAACTCCCCCTAAACCACTTATCACAATTTAATGTAACTTTCTGAAATTCTCAATCATATAATGCCATTGTGCACCTCCTATTTTGTTTTTGGTCAAATTGATTTATGGGGTTCCCAATACCAAAACATGAAATTTGCAAGGAGCGGGGGTATAATTTTGTGAGCTCTGATCACAGTACCTCTAGTTTTTATTTATTTTTATTTCATTTATTTATTATTTTTTTTTATTTTTTCTATTTTTTTTGGGGGGAGTAGGGGTGGTGGTACTGTTTCGTCATAATTGAGGTATACCCAAAAACCTTTTTTTTTTAAATAATACAAACCTTCAACTCTTCATTCTCTGACTTATACATACAAACAAAGACATGCCAGTTGATACCTTTCTGCCCAAACCAGTCACTTTGTTTTTCCCTGAAAGACATGAGTAAGAATTTCATGGCCCAGTCCATCACTATGACTGCTTGTTCTGATGAAAGGCTTTTCAAAAGATCACTGCGGCCTTTGTCTTGGTTTATGGTTCTTAAAATGTGTCTTTTCCAATCTGTTATTCTTCCACAGGCTGATTCAATGTCACCATATATGTCAGATAGTAAATCTGGTGGAAGTTCAACTGCAATAGTCAGAAAATATTTCAGTTTAGTTTACTTTCTTATTACAATAATTTCAAAATCTATCTCACTGACACTGTTGTTGATGCACTGCGTTACAGATTAATTACTGATGACAAACCACTACTTTAAAACCATGACATATATAATCTATGTGATATATAGAGAGATATTTCAGAGTAAATCATCAATTATTTTTTTAGCATATATCAAGGAGACATTTAGAGCTTTCAGGAGATGTGTTGGAGTAAAGTTATTGCAAAAACTTTATATCAATTTTTTTTGTTTTGATTTGAGGACTCACAGTTATGAAATGATTACAAGTTGTACATTTACAATATAGACATTCTGATATTTTTAAGGAATAAAACTGATGATCCTTTTTTAAAACTTCAAATAACAAGAATGTGTCCATTGTACACGGATGCCCCACTCGCACTATCATTTTCTATGTTCAGTGGACCGTGAAATTGGTGTCAGAACTATAATTTGGCATTAAAATTAGAAAGATCATATCATAGGGAACATGTGTACTAAGTTTCAAGTTCATTGGACTTTAACTTCATCAAAAACTACCTTGACCAAAAACTTTAACCTGACACGGGACAGACGGACGAACGAACGAACGGATTGACGAACGGACCCACAGACCAGAAAACATAATGCCCCTCTACTATCGTAGTTGGGGCATAAAAATAATATTTTTGAAATTGTTATTCTGTATTTGTTTTACTGACAGTGTATCATACCTCCTAAATTTTTGATCTGGTTTTTGACTTCCAGAACAGTGTTGGTGAATAAATCACACCTGTCACAACTTGTGTCATGAATGTGATCACTGCACAGCTGCTGATGTTTCTGATCCATAGGATCAGAAAGGGCAAAACTAATGCAGTGATCAGCACATTTATCCTTTTGCTTAATGTGAGCCTTGAAATCTGTTTTCAAGTAAAGCTTTGCTGCAAACAGGTTCTGTCTGCATTCCTTAAGTTGTATTAGCTTGTCATTATCTGACACATATCTTTCAATGCTTGCCAGAGTTGATAATAGAGTCTCAAAACCTAAAGCACCATCTGCTGCAACATTATCCAGTCCTTATAAATTAGTTCTTTTTGATGCAGGACATGCAGCAAAAATTTTGAAAAGAGTGGCTCTGGACAAAGGTGAGAAATCTGTTTCTTGGCAGAATGATTGATAAATTGTCACTAGTGTTGATTGACATGCTGTCCTTACAACCTGTTGGATGGTGATGACTTCTCCATTTCGTAAATGCATCTGCTTAGTGCCAACTGAAGTTACCTGAAACAAAAATACATTACAGACTATATAATTTTTTTTTTATAATTTAAAGTACAAATACTTAGACACATAACAGTTTTACTATAAAGCATGTTTCATAATCTATCACATTCTTAAATGCTGATTATGCAAGATTTTGTCAGGTATTCATCTTAATGTCATCCTATTAATATTATCATTTTAAAATGTTTAAGTTTAGCAGGCCTTCAAATCATGAATACATTCAGAAAATAACAAATGGTTTCAAAGATAGTACCTACAAATAAATTAGATTTTACAAATTAATTAGATTGGAGTTTTCAATGGAAGAAGTATGTCGCCAAGAAACAGCAAGAAGTTTCAGCACGACTTCGATGAGCAACCGCAAAAAAATCACTACACACAGTATAGCACATAAGATAAAGCTTCGAGCCAAATATATCAATACTGTTCTGACACCTTGTTGGGAAAATTTTGTGAAGACGACACATACTACGAAGCAGACGCAAGACGACAGATAGTGATCTTTCTACATGCTCAGGCAACATAATGAAAATATATTTATCTGATGGAAAGAAGGATTTAGGAAGAAATCTAGTGCATGATCAAGCTTATCTTTATTCATTTTTTGGCGAACACATTTTCTTTATTTGGAGGTGGAAGACCTGAAATATATCAAATCAATGTTATGCTCACAATTGATACAACAAATATAGGTTTCAGTAAAAAGGAAGATCAAGAGCCATGTATGTATAATGAATTACTCAGTAAAACTTGCTTTTAAGAACAAAATTAACCAAATCTCAGGATGATAATGAAAAGCTATGAATGTAAAAATAAATCTGAATTCATGCAAACAGGAAACTTTAAAATACACGCTTTGATTTTATCTGGTCAAGAGAAAAGTACCACTTACATTTATTTGATGCAGAGACAGACAGTGTCCTTTCAAAATCACTGCAAATGACATACTTTTAAAATCTTATAAATAAATGGTTTAGTATTTAAAAAAAATTCCTCAATTTGTCATTTTTGTAACTTTGGTAGATCAAAGAGTGGGTGTATTATCCTAAGAGAGACATACAGAAATTTTTATGAAGAGTGTAATACCTTTTCCACAAGTCTTTGCATGCATTCTGGCTTGGTCAATCTCATATATGCTAATGCCAGGAAATATGTCTCTCAGCTGCTGTTTTGTGTAACTTAATGAGATCATTGAAAGGAACTGCTTTTTGGTACACTTGTCAGTTGATTCTTTGGAAAGTTGAACAACCAGCTCATCTACTTTAGGTGATGGTGTTGAACACTGAAATAACATTTAAAAATAAACATTCAAGTTATGTTTTAAAATCATAATCTCAAATAAGGGTATCCACCTCAGTGGTGTAATGGCTAGCGTAATCGCCTTGAGTGCGGTAGGTTGTGAGTTCCATCCTCGGTCTGGTAAAACCAAAGACTTGAAATTGGTATTTGCTGCTTCTCCGCCAAGTATGCAGCATTTTGAAATACCCAGAAAAAAATGTGAAAGTTCCATAACTCCTAAAACAATTGTCAAATCAAAATGCTAATATAATACGGCCAACCACATGTGATAGCAAATAATTACCAGAAGTTTCAAATGATTTCAGAGCAGTTGCTTCATAATGACCTTTCGGAAGACATTTAAATGTAAATTGTTTGTTTAGACTAATTAAATTCATCATTGACAAATAATGTAAGGGGGTTAGATTCCATGTTCTATCAGTTGTAACTGTTTGCTCAAATTGCAAATTTAAAATCTACATTTTACATAGGCCAAGTTTAAAATATATTACATTAATCTCATAAAGCTTGTATGTTTCAAGGGCAATATATTCACCAAGTCCATATCTATGAGTTGCCAAACTTTTTTTGCTTGAAATGGTGCAAGACAGTCAAGTGCTTCATGAAGAGTAGCAGATGCTTTTCTATTCAGGCTGCGCATTGTTCTTGGTTTGAGTTCGTTAACATCCTTCCTTATTTGGTATGTAATTGGACTGATTTTCCCCCCACCAATAATGTTCAGTGCACTGTTTATTTCCTCTAAGGTGTTTCTTTCTATGTCATTTTCTGTACTCCATGATGATATCTGAGATGAAGGCAGAGAAACCTTTAACAATTTTTTTAAATACCAGTATATCTCAGATTGCTTTTTTTTAATCATCTGTCTTGAATCAATGACTATGGCATGGAACGCCGAAGATTTCTTTTTTCTGTTGCGGTGGGTAAAATTTTAATGTGAAATTATAGGTTGTTTGGGTCGTCACAACTCATTTTTCTGTTTGAGGGATGTAAATTAGATGAAACAAGAGTGGATAATATCTGGCATTCCGAGAGTTGCATAGAACTGTGAGTCAACTCACTAAAGGATACCCCTACTTCCTATAAACTTCAATAAACTAAATTAGTTCAATTATCTCCCTTGAAATATTTTGGACCAGGATTTTTTTCTTTCATACACATTCTCAGATTATGTACTGCAAGTGTGTCAAGTTTCATCAATATCCATCAAGCCGTTAAGAAGAAGTTGCGCTTACGAGACCTGTTACCACATATTGCAATATCAAAATAAGTAAGTTCAATCTCTCCCTTGAAATATTTTGAACCAGGATTTTGTTTTTCCTCAGGTTGTGTACTGCAACTGTGTAAAGTTTCATCAGTATCTGTCAATTCGTTTAGGAGGAGTTGCGCTTACAAGATATATGGACAGACAGACAGACAGATAGCCTGACAGGGTGATTCCTATATACCCCCAAAACTTTGTTTGTGGGGGTATAATGACTGTGTGTTTACTACAGAATTTTTTTTTCTAGGTCTTAGAAGAAAAAAACATTTTCTTGGTAGGGCATATATATTTTCATTTTTTTTTCTATAGATGGGTGGTCTAAACAACTTACTGAAATTGAGTTTGTAAAGCTGAACTATCAAGGTAAAAATATTTCATACGTCAAGGATATGTTTATGAGGATTAATAAAAAGATGTTATATGTGGCTGTTTTAATTTGGGTTTTTTCTGTGTATGCACTGATTTTGTATAATGAATCTATACATATCCTTTTATCTATTGTGTAATTCTTAAAAAAAAAATCGTATAATTTTCTGAATCAGACTGTGAAATCCATATAGATGCTTCATCTTCACTTATCTAAAAAGAGGAATTTATATCAGGTACTAATTACATATATACATGTGTACAATACATGCAAGAAGAATACAAGATATGTCTGAATTATATCTTGCTCATCATCATTCCAAAAAGAAAATTGTTAGTACTCTCTCAACAAATCGTAAACTTTATAGCTGTACAGTTTATTTTGAATAACATCTGCCTCAAATTTGATATATGTACACACATATATATATAACACAAGTGTTAACAAGTGAATCTCATTGAGCTACTACTCACTAATGATACCCCTGCTAAAAGTAAAAGAATAGGGTAAACAGGAAGTTGTTTAGTGATGAATCTGAAAACATATCACCTGGTAAAGCTCTCATTTATAAACCTTGATACCAAATTTGAGAAAACCAGGATGTGTAGTTCCTGAAAAAAAATGTGACAAAAATTTCATGGGACGGACTGACGGTCTCATTTTCACCAAAAAGTATACAGACCGTTTGACTATCATAAAAAACAACTATGCTAAGAAATTTGGGTAAGTTGTTCTCAAGGTACAGAGCGACATGTTTACGATGGACAGACGGAAGGACGGACAGACGGCTGACATTTGTATACCATAATACAACCTGTCAAAATTGACGGACGTATAAAAACACAAGTTCATTCATTGACAAAATAAGTTTTATTACATACAAGAATTTAACCAGTATAAATTAATGAAGTGGTATTATAAAAACAATATTACCCGTAGTTAAATTCTATGACATAGAAATTTGATAGTTGATCTATTTTGAAAAAGCAGTTAATTTTTTCATATATATACATATATGTTCATACCATGTCATTTTCTTCCTTAGCTGTCGTATCTTCTGACTGCATACACTTATTAGTTGGCTGGTTCTGTTCAACTACTGAAAACTAATAAAAAAAAAACAAAGTTTGAACAGTAAAATTCAGAGTAATTTAAAACAGAAATAATGCGATGAAGAATAGAAAAGATTAAATGAATTGGATCACCATTTCATCATCTTATTTACCTTTTTGCAGATACATTTGTGTATTTTTTTCATCCAGTACATCCTAAATAAAAACCATGTCTATACCAATTTTTTAAATTTAAATCATAAATATTATGAATTTTGTATGTACAAAACTATGTAAATCTCTTAACTGAATGAAGACAATCATCCTGTGAAGATCTTTAAACGCTTGCTATGGGGTGTGTGCTTTTTTTCCATGTTGAAGACTGTGTAGTTATCTAAAAGAGGGACGAAAGATACCAGAGGGACAGTCAAACTCATAGATCGAAAACAAACTGACAACGTCATGGCTAAAAATAAAAAGACAATCAGACAAATAATAGTACAGATGACACAACATAGAAAACTAAAGACTAAGCAACACGAACCCCACCAAAAACTGGGGGTATTCTCAGGTGCTCCGGAAGGGTAAGCAGATCCTGCTCCACATGTGGCACCCGTCGAGTTGCTTATGTTATGACAAATCCGGTAAATAGTCTAATTCGGTAAGTCACATTCGTGAAAAGGGAAGGGTATTGTAGTTACGACATAAAGAACATATCCGATATCATCTGTGAAACGGTTATTCCATAACGGTCAACCAACTCGTGATGCCGTCCGTAAAATTTACGAAGGGATGACTTCAACTTCACCATTTGGAACTCTTGGTTTAATAGCTTCCCTGTGAGCAGCAATCCTCTATCAAGGAAATCATGATAGGAAACACAAGCCCGGGAATATCGTATCAATTGGGAGATATATACTCCGTATGCAGGCGCTGCTGGAATGTTGCTACATAGAAATGGAAAGTTCACAATTGGGAAGCTGAAATCATCTCTTTTGTCGTAAAGTTTTGTTTTCAACCGACCCTCATTGTCAATTTCTAGATGTAAGTCAACATATGAGGCAGACTTAACTGTATCTGTAGTATCCTTTATCTCTAGTTCGATGGGATAGATTCGTTCAACATAGTCACCAAATTTTGTATTATTTAGTGAGAGAACATCATCTATATAGCGGAACGTAGAGTTAAAGGATATTGCTAACTTCTTATCTCTCTTCCTAAGAAGCTCCTGTATGAAGTCAGCCTCATAATAATAAAGAAACAAGTCGGCCAGGAAAGGGGCACAATTGGTTCCCATTGGAATTCCGACAGTCTGTTGAAAAACACGTCCTCCAAACGTAACAAATATGTTGTCAATCAAGAAATCAAGCATCTTGATAATGTCAGTTTCAGAGAATTTTGTTTGAATCAGAGTGATGCTTTACAAAGTAGGATTTATCCCTCCCCAAGACAAGATACTTGTATCTACGTTCGCCATTCTTTTTAATGAAACAAAGTAATACCAACTCTTTCAATTTGTCTTTTAGTTTGGAAGGGGAATACTTGTGTAAAGTGTAGAAAAGTCAAATTTTTTAATACTATTGCAAGATGAGAGAGTCTTAGATTGTATGTACTCTAAAAGATCTTTGGAATTTTTTAGTATCCACATCTGATTCACGCCACCTCTAGAATAGGCAGTTTCACAATAACTTTGGAGCCCGGCTTTGATTGCTGATAAAATAGATGTTAATAATTTAGAAAGAGGTTTCGTGGAGCACTTGGAAGACCCAGCAATATACCGTTGTTTGTAAGGACACTTATGTAGTTTAGGTATCTAAATTTATGTCTGAGCTTGAGAGCTGTCTCAATGACAATCATAACACATTTTAATTATAATTATTGAATGGAAGTGATTATGATATTTTTTAAGAGGTTTTTCTGTTAAATCATCAATAATACTAATGGCACATTACAAATATATGGCAAAAACATCACACATAAATCCATACCTTATGCTCTAAATAACAGCCATCAAAATCTATGTCACAAGGATAAATGTCCATCTAAAAGATAAATGAATAAAATATATATGTATCGTAAAATCGTAACTAAAGTTTAGTTTATTCTATACAGAATACAAGTAGTTTTAAAAGTGATTGCTTGACCAGCAAAATGTGGATTTTTACCTCTAAAAGTATAAATGGGGGGTATGATTTTCAATAAGTAAATGATTGAGTTTCCAGTTAAATTTGGTTCAAACCAGTATTCAGTTGTCTATTTTGTATTTCATTGTGTCTATACATTTCCAAAATATGTGCTGTCTTGGTGGTCAATTTCTTTTGCATAGATCATGTTAAAATATTGCTGTTTACTTAGAAAGGTGATGCTTTTATAAATGCTATTTTATTAAATAATGAATATTCTTCTTTCTTTAACTACATTGTGTCTTGGATGGAGCCATGTCTTATTGGCACCCATACCACATTTAAGAGATAACTGTATTGCATTTGAAATTTTGCGGACGTCCATCGGTAGTTTTACTGTCGCAAATTGAGTTTACCTGTCATCCAATCAAAATCATTAATACACAATAATTGCAATAGAAATACTTATTTATATACTAAATAGAATATCCATACCTGATCATTTATTTTTATTTCTCCTGAATCCTCATCACCAGGAATAACGTCCATCTAAAATACAGATAAATATATATGTTGTACTCAAAATCATTTATAAAAATGATAAATACCATACTAGTAGTGTGTTTACCTTTAAAATATACCTGTGGTGTGAATTAAGGCTCCACATTGAAGGCTGAACTATAACCTATAATTGCTTATATTTACTAATTTAGGTCTTGTATGAAGAGTTGTCTCATTGGCAATTATACCACATCTGTTTTTTTTTAATATAAAGCAAGTAAAAATTATAATTATGTATATTTCACAATTGAAAAAAAATATTACAACAACAAAAAATAGATAGTTCTAAATTATCAATTGAGGAAACACATGTAGCATGAAATATTTCTCTGTCAGGTTTGGATTGGTATGCTGAACATGTGCTCAATGCATAATTATATTATAAATATTGACTAATTTTTCATGTTCCTCCTAGGTCATAAGTATCCACATTCCATAAGTTAGTAAATAGACAGGAGATACTGTTTGACTGTATATAAATAATGTAAAAACTATCCTGTATTCCATTTATTTTAAAGGAAGCCTTTAATCATACATGTTATTTTGTATATAATTGAGTGACATGTGATAAAAAATAACTTGAAGTAAGTTTATACCTACCATATTAGGAAATGATTCTAGGATGTTAAATGTTTTTGTTTTGCAGACTTTACAGATAGCTGAAATAAAATGAAACAATATAAAAAAAATATAACACATTTATTTGCAATTGAATCCTTAACTTTTAGGAATTATGAAACATCCACAAGCATATCAATGAATAGTTTGTCCAACCTTTTTAATCAAAATGAGTAAGAACTTTAGGAAAAAGAGACAACTAAATGAATGGCCATTAATAAATGAAAATCAAACATGACTAACAGCAACCAAAGACTGCATCTGAATTACAGGGTCCTGATTTTGGACATGCCAATATGTGAGCTACAGAATGACAAAATCAGCATGTGTTTTTTTTTTTTTTTTGGGATTGTTTTACACAAATCTTGCATTGACCCTTTAAAGCTTGCTATGTGGAGTAAGCAAATATTCTTTGTTGAATGCCATATAAGTTAATGACCTATACTTGCATACATTTAAGAATGTTTTTTTATGAAGAGTTGTCTCATCCTTTGCTCATTGGCAATCATTCCACATCTTCTTATTTAAATGTATATGTATACTAAACATGCTAAAAAGCTAATAATATTCATGACATTCAGCATATTTTTTTTTTTAAAAAGATCAAACTAGATAAGATATAACCTCATGAACATTGTAGCTAGATCTTATCATTTTGAGTAAGATACCTATTCATAGATCCTGACTATACCAACAAGTAAGCAAGTAACCAGTAGGATGTAAATGTTCTGAATGTACATGTAAATGCACTAGTACTATGTATGGATTCTATATTGTTTTATATCTTTTCTTCCATAAACTTTGAATATGGCAATTGAATATCAAACAATCAGAACATAATTGTAGAAATTATAAGATCTTGGGATACACTGTCAATAAAATTTGCTTGCAAAATGATTTTTTTTGCACGAATTTTCTTTATTTTCTCCAAGTGTGATATTTTTATCCTGGTTTTTGTGACCCAGTTGTTTATCCTGCTTTTTGTTACTCAAAATTCCTGTCCTGCTTATTTTTAACTTCATCCTACCCCCCCCCCCCCCCTCCCCCCCCCCCCTAAAAATCAAATTGCAACTCCCTTAATTGGACATCAATGACAAAAAAGTTACAACCATTTATGATAATATAATTATTCCTAAACCTCTGAAATAACCTACCCGATCCTATTGGCAAGAATGTTCATCTCTGGGAAATGTTGGTTTTTTTTTTCTAATTCAAATCACTTTAATGAAATCTCAGCTTTAGCGTATGATTTGTTTCTCGTTGTTGTTGCAATACCATATAATGTAACGCCAAAACTGTTATGTTATGTCCATTTCATTTGAATGTTGTGTATCTATCTTTATATGATGTCACGACCACATTATACAATAACACATCCACATCATATCAAGATGTTTGCACTTAATATAAGGGGAAAATGCACTTCATATAAGGACATATGCACGCCATATACGTATATTTGTATATCATATAAGTATAGTTTCACATCATATACGAATATTTGCACATGGTACCTGTTATATAAGTACATTTGCACATCATATAAAGGTATTTGCAAATTATATAAATATAGTTGAACATCATACAATGTTGTATGCGAAAAATATAAGTATATGTACATATCATATATTATGTAAACTTGCACATCATGTAAATCCATTTGAACATCATATCAGTATATGTTCACATCATATAACGGAGTTTGTACATCATATAATGACAGGTGCACATCATTTAAAAAAAAACATGCACATTATAACCATAACAAAGTACTGTATTTGGAAACACTCAGACACATATTTACATGTGTAACAAGATGCAAGATACATAGTAATAGATAAGGGTACCACAAAACAATGTTAACATATAATCATATTAATTACAATATTCTAACTAATTTCCTAATAACTTTGATATTGCAAATTAAAAGCAGTCCTTTCATTTTCACGGTATGCCCGTGTGTTTAGTGATATAATAGATTTTAACGAACGTAATCAATGCATACCGGTAAATTATTAAGTCAGGGATTTCGTAACCATAAATTACTTAAAACTTTTACTAAAGTCATTCATATATACAAAGATTTGATAAGTAAATTTGGCTGTACCTGTAGAAAACTTATTAAAAATGGTATTTTACATCCTAAATTTTACGGTAATATTGTATTTAAAGCGCGGAAATCACTATGTGATCCGGGTAAACTCATCGAACCTTTAAACAAACTTATTAGTAAGGGTTATTGTACCAATGTTGTAATTAGATGTAAACATACTAAATCCCTGGGATGTGTTTTAGTTGATTTTAGTTTCTGATGCATGATTTTTAATATGAATTGTTTTGGCATTTAACTAGCTGTCAGTAACTAGTAGTACTCTCAAACCGTACTATTTTGTTAATTTGAACAATATGACGCAGGTTTTTTCAAAAGTGATGATTTTCTAAAAAGTGTATAACATTTCACAGTGGTATCATACTTTAACTTTGTTTAAACCTGTTTTTTTACTTTTGACCTTAATTATTTGTCCCTTATAATTTATATTAACTATGTATTTGTATTCAGGTATCACAGATCAAATTTATTCGTTCATTGTGTGTTGATTTGCGTTTTTTGATTATGTGAAGCCTTCCAATTGATATTTTATTGTGTTTTGTTATGTTGTGTGACGTTATACTATTATTTCAGAAAAAGGAGAAGGTTTGGTACCTTTAAAACGTTTAATCCCGCTGCAAATGTTTGCACCTGTACTAAGTCAGGAATCTGATGTTCATTAGTTGTCGTCTGTATATAGTTCATACGTTTTTCTCGTTTCTCGTTTTGTTTATAGATTAGACCGTTGATTTTCCCGTTTGAATGGTTTTACACTAGTAATATTTGGAGCCATTTAAAGCTTAATGTTCGGTGTGAGCCAAGGCTCCGTGTTGAAGGCCGTTTCATTGACCTATAATGGTTTGCTTTTATTAATTGTTACTTTGATGGAGAGTTGTCTCATTGGCACTCATACCACATCTTCCTATATCTATTAATTGTACATCATGTCATGAAAATGGACACACTAAGAAAATGTTTTGATTTGAACAATAATTATTAGGATTCTCTGTTGAATTATATAACTCTTCAGCACGTTCAGATAACAACAGAAATTCATATGCACACACTAAACAAATGGAAAACATCTTAAGGAAGTTCGCTGCTCAGTTTCAAAATAAATAGCTTTCCATAACACTAGTATATATTGATAGGGGATTAGTTGAGGAATAAAAAAAGCCAAAAAAATATAGGGGTCAATGTGCTTGTTTTCGATATATTAGCCATTGGAATTTTGGCGGGAAAATGATCTCTCTTGATTTTTCATAGCTTTATCATTGACCAGTTAAAGTTCTCAAAAACTATTAAAAAATAAATAAGATTTTATAAGACTTTTACAAATGGCTTATAATTATACATGTAAAAGATTTATAAAAATAAAAATGGGGGTCCATGCTCAAAATGTTTTTAAGGCATTCAAATGGATAAAACCAGAGGATTTCGAAAATATGACAAAAATTCCAAAACATGACAAGCAAGCATCCTTAAAACGCGTTTTTGTAATAATTCTTATATTTAAATAATTATTATTTTTTTTCTAATAATTATTATCTTCTTAATAATTATTATTTTTTTAAATATTTATGATAATATTTACTATATCAATTAAGATAATAAGATCCAAACACAACATCATCAACTTTTGAATTTGTTTTCTGACATATGACAACTTATATTAATACTTTTTGATACGTTTGAAATGGAAAATTACATTTAATTTAGTGAATTGTGTGTAAAGGGAAACAATAGGATATTTAGTCTAGATGCATTAATGATCATGATGATGTATGTTTTAATAGTACTGGAAATTTTCTCCTCTATGGCAATAGGCGTTAATTGATATGTTGAAATATATATGTCTAAACAATCGTTCATACAATGGCACTTTCTCAAGGTGTTTGTAAAAAATAAAACAGCTATACTTTATTGATTATTTTTTACAGTAGTCCGCAACATGGTGTAACACTCTCAATATAGTTGCTTGTGTAACATGAAACATACAATAGAGAGTTATTGGTATAAGAGACAAGATCGGTATAGTGAACGAATCTTTTTAATGTCAATACGTTTTTACGATTTATATAGATTTGCATATCCCGCAAAGAACATAATATTACAGACAGTTGTCAAGACGGGTTTATACCCTTCAGGAATAGCTGTTGATTCAGCCAATGATTATATCTACTGGATTGAGTATGATTTAGCCGGACTCTCAAGATGCAATCTAGACGGAAGCAATGTGACTGTTTTATCAACTTTAAGTAGTCCTTGGGCGATACGACTCGATCTTATAAACAGGTATATTAAGTTTTATAATTAAAGGAATCGGGCAAGTATTAAAAAATTTAGTTTACAAAAGAATACAACAGTTTTATCGGCCAGGTCTTACTCCGAAAAACAATACCATACTGTCTTTCTAACTATATATGTAAATAAATAGTCACCATTTATTGTCGAACATTGCATGTGGTCTATATTTTTCAGAGTATGTCACAGGTTGTCAAGACGTCGCGTTTTATTGTCATTCACAAGCTCACATATCACTGTCGAACCCAAATGAAAACAGTTGTAAGGGGAAATAAATAATAAATTTGAAGATAATTTAAGAACGACATGCGACATGTGCTAAATATTGCTGATACAATGAAGGCATTGGAGTAGACATATTTTATTTGATTACTTAAGCTGAAATATGTCATAAGGGGGACTGATCGAATTACTTTAGTCATAAAATATCCTGACTTGAACTACCAGATGTTAAAATTATAATAGTCTGACCGATACGTAAAACATCTCAATACGTAATACATGTTTTAAAAAGCTTTGAACAGAAAAAAAACTATAGAGAAACAAATAAAAAACACAAAATTGTCATTATGAAATTGTTTCTTTTTCAAAAATGCTTGAAATGCATTTATATATGTCAGGCGGATTCGTACCTTGCTTCGATCACAAATATTCTTTTATATATATATATATCATATTAAAGTATTTGGTACATCGCACATACTTGTTTACATTCATTTGATGTGTTTAAGCTTTATATGTTGCCATCTAATAAGGGACATTCCGATTTACATTGTCCTTGTACTTCGATATTTTTATTACTTTATACTATTTTATTCACATATGCGTACTAAGTTATTTGACTTTTGACCAATATATGAATACATATAGGTCACTGTGGCATTTCCGATGACGGTTATCATGGTTATGTACTAACACTAACAGAGTTGATGTTCATATTGATAATGCAAATATACATTGACATAAACGGTGGACTAATATATAGAACCATAGCCGTATCGACTTCTATTTAGCAATGCAACTATCACGAAGTAAGGCTAGATAAGGCCTCTGCTTTGTTGTTCGGGATGAATAGATTCAATCTCATGAGTCCAAGTTAGATGTGCAATAAATGAGGTCAGTAGGTGATCTTTTACAAGGTCAAATTCAACCTCCTTCCAGTATAATCATTTAATTTATAGTTTGTAAATATGCATTTTTATCTAAGTCGACCCCTGGTAAATAGGCACAACCTACTATCGGCTGAAAGTAAAGACATTATTTGATATTACCAATTTAATTGGTCATCATTGGGTTTTTTATAATATTTATTGATCAGTATCGTCTGTTTTTCTCGTAGTCGTTAATTAGCTATTAAAAAACACATGCATACACAAATATATATTGAACCTGAAACTTAGTTTTCACACTTTCATTTCTCTTCCAGGTGGATGTATATAGTTGAACGTTATTCAGGAATTTTGAAGTCCAGATTCAATTCAACTGAACAGCAGGCTATCGTTAATTTTACATCACAACGTGTTGACTGCATTGATATAGGTTCGTTTTCACCACACATATTTCTTGAAATATTGCTTAAATGTCATAGTTTCTAATTTCATTCATTATAAGATACTTTATGCGTATCCATCTATTAGTTTATCTGTATACCTATTTGTTTATTTTGTTCATGAAAATATTTACATACAGCATGTACAATGAAGATAGAAATTGTGTATGTAAGTAAAAATCTACAAAACATATTTAAATATACAAAAAGGATATAATAGCTGTCAAGCTTGCCATATTAAAAAATAGTATAATGAGATCTTTATATCAGTAGTTCTTTACATTGCAATTGCATAAGATCATTATATCTTAGGATTTATAATAAATAGTTTGCACGTTATCTACTTTATGTATAATGTGTGGTTGTCATCGTAACAACAAAACGTATTGCTTCATTATTAAATTAAATATATTTTATAGCCCATGATCTATAAGATTGATGATATAAAGTTAACTAATATGTTTGCAAGAATAGACAATTATATCTTGAAAAGATATGGTCGTTGCCGTCAAGATACATTTGGCTATGAATCCATGATTTACTGTTTCTGACACACATGATATATCATGCTCTTAGTCCGTTAGTTAACATATTTTATGATAAATAGAAAATCAAAATTTTGTGATTCAACAGTTGATCAGTAACTGTTCACATTGTATAAAACAGCTAAGACGCTTGATGACCATACTTATATTTCATTAGTAAATTAGGGATTAGCAGATCGATGTCTACCAATATAATACATGCTTTTTTTCCAAAGAGATTAATATCAATTATAATTCCAGTCCCAGTGTCTGTCGGCATCTGCCCCTGAAATGGGCAGATGGGTCGTGTTGGTACGTGCAAATGTATTTCAATAGAGAACACAAATCCTGCTAAGATGATAACCAACTTAGTCAATGGTCTAAGGATATTGGATACAGAAAATAATGGCTATATAATTAAATGTAATCGTAGAAAACATGGTTCATATTTTATGAATGCAGTAATTTTATTTAAGTTTAGATAAATTATTACATATGAAGCAGAATGGTGAAAACTGCTTTTTTTCGGCCTGTTTTTAATTTAAGAAAAATTGAAATACCTTGCCGCGTATCTTTATTGTAAAAGATGCATATCACATAAATGATTAGCTTCCATCCATAGCTCTAACAGATGAAAGTGAAATCTTTAAAAAATGTCTTTATTACATGGTGTTTAACGGACAGTTTTTCATATAAGATATTATCCGCTAACACTATTGCATAATGACAAACTGTCCTGGATAAGCTTTCATTTTGAAATAGTGTTCTTTTGCATAAAATGTTCTCACCTCATTCTGGACAATATTTCTCTTTGCAAAAGTATCTTTCATAATATGTCACTTTCAAATTTTGTTCACGACAATATTTAAGTTTAAAATACTGTCCATTCAAATATTTCATAATCTAATTATGTCTTCTCTGCCAAATTCCCGGCCATGGATTTTTTTGCGTTTCTGGCAATTAAATTATACTTGTATGTGTGTGTTACCCTAAATTGCTGCATACATATGTTATAACGGTATGGTTGATATTATCAATAAAAAATCACTGTGTTGATTTAATTTTCTAAACTATTAAAGGTATAAAACTTTCCTTCCATGAACACAACATTTCATGACAATTAATCTATGAAATATTGTATCAATATATACATAATATATATATCCTTTAAAAACCGCCCTTTAACAAGATAAAATGTATACTATTCATATATCGTGTCTATGAAATATTGTATGCATATGGACAAAATTGCATATCCAATATGTCCTTCTACATGAATGTTTTGTTTTGGGGACAATAGTTCATCGAACTAGTTTGTTTTACAAGAGTTCATCTTTTTTGTTTCGAAAATTGCAGACACTGAGGAGCAAAGATTGTTTTGGATTAATTATGATGGTGACATGAAATCAGCCAAGGATGATGGCTCTGATATAACAATAATCCATTCAACACATTCTGAAAAAGCTTACCACGCTATTGGTGTTATAAGAACCTACATGTATTATGCTAATTACAATCAGTTGCTGATGGTAGACAAAGCACCAGGATCCACGTCGAATGTTCTGTATACGGATACCGGTCATATTGACAGTATTTTTGTCTTTATCAAATCAGGTGTGTAAACCGCAATTTATTAAAATAATCATATTAAGAAACCGAATGCACGTTTACACTTTCATACTATTATGGGTCAACTCTTTTCGAAGATGGAACTTTGGGACCTTTCTTTCTCTTCTTTCTTTCTTATGTGTAAGCTTCCTATCTTAGGAAACATCCCTTAATGGGTAATAAGGAATATCTGCATAAATGGGTAAGAACGTAAATTTTTTGAATTTTTAAAATTTCAAATTTTGTCCTTAATGACGACATATGACCAATTGTTTCAAATACACTGTGCATATGATTCATCAATATCGATTACTGAGTTTGCGTTTCTTGTGATTAATTGTGTTTCTCTGCAGACGCATACTGCTTTGTAACTATTAGTAATGTATAAATTGTAGCACATTAATTAACAATAAACACTGTCTTTAGTGAGTTATGTAACTTGGCAACAGTATCAATTTTGAATCACATTTTTGAATTATATTGAAGAACGCATACATTTGATGCCATAATATACTTATTAACATGCGTATTGAATATATGAAGTTATGTACGATTTTTGTATTTATTTAAATTGAATATTTGTAAAATAAAACACAAAACACTCCCGTTTCATGACTTATCTTGAGTATATCTAAATATTTATATTGTTTTCATATTTGTACATGTTGTATTTATGATGTTTGCTTGTTTTACATAAATGCGCATGCTGTTTATAGTGATTCACGTGTTGCTTGATATATCTATTTTTGTTTTGCTTCTGCTTTTTCGTTTTAACATTTGTATGTATATTGGTGTTTTCTTTTCATATTTCAATGTTTTTACAGAGATATTTCACATTACCTCCTACAATTAAATACATAAGTTTATGTGTACCTTTTTAGCGTTTAATTTAATATTAAGTCATGTTTTTTACATCACACTTCCTTATAGATGATACAGATACATATAATAAATTTGAATACATCGTTTAACAATTATCAATATTTTTAGATAATTTCAATGGCAACATTTATTAGGACTAAGGAAAAAAATGATGAGGTCTGTAATTATTTTATCAATAGCATGTTTGCACCATTACTGATGTGTTTAAATATAAAATTGATATATTTTAAAGTCAAATAAAGGCTATTTACCTGTAATAACAATAAACAAATCTGATTTTAGAAATATGATTTTCATTTAAAGTGATAAAACAAACTGAAAATTTTAAAGCATTTGAATTCATTGTTAACATATTACCTTTTTATTGGTATGTCTCACTGGAGCAAAGTGGTAAACAAGGAACTACTCACTACGAAAATAATAAGAACCTGGAAAAACACCGCAAGACAAAGGAAAATTATGACGACTAATGGTATGAATATAAGGTCTTGTATAATTTTACTTAACATAATGAATGTGATCAGGCCTTGTCAATTTTTTGTATTAACGAATAAACAACTTAAACATACTTTGCGATAACCAACGCAGCTGTAACTGACACATGTTGCATTTGTAAGATCTTTATTTAATATGAGTTACTTCAGCGACAGGAACTCATATGATTATATAGCACGTGTGAATAAAACTTAAGGAATATGTTTCTTTTACGTTGACATTGCATTTTGGTGATCTTGAGAAGTTAAAAGGTCATTTTGTAATGCTGCATGTCTCGTAGTTTCTTTCGAAAAAAAAACAACAACCCACACAGTCTGCAATATCGTATAAAGACTCCTTTTGTTTCTCTTTTTTTTTTTAACTCACAAGCACAACATGTCATTAGTTTTATCGCTGTTTTACGAAATTTTCCTTTGAACTTGCTGACTGATAATTTCCTTTCTCAGCGGAGTCGAGTGATATGAAAATTATCGCTAGAAACTAAAGGGGCACGTGGCGTTGCTAATGAAATTGACATTAGATTGACAAAGTCGTCATAAGTAAAATAGCGATAAACAGATTATCATTGGTCATGTCAACTCGATTACTTTGCTCACTTTCGCCGTACTGGCTCAAGCAAGAAAATCACTCTCGTTGAGATGATCAACGATAATCTATAATTATATCATTTAAATCAATTAGTAAATACTTAATTTATAAATACTTTTATTTAGAAATGTTAATTGTTCTACAGTATTAAGTTCACCATGCCTGTCAATTAATGAAATATGTGTACTGGTTAGTCCTGTGTGGACGAAACGCGCGTCTGGTGTATTAAATTATAAACCTGATACCTTTTGATAGATATTATTCGTGTGTTTCTCTGTCATATATGTTTTCCCATTTATTTGTATTGTAGTCCTGTCATGTAATGTTGTCATTTTAATGTTTTATTTAACAATAAAAGCAGGAGGTTTGGCTAGCCACAAAACCAGGTTCAACCCAACATTTTTTTTCTTAAAATGTCCTGTACCAAGTCAGGAAAATGCCCATTGTTATATTATAGTTCGTTTCTGTGTGTGTTACATTTTAGAGTAGTGTCGTAGTTCTCTTATATTTGATGTGTTTCCCGCAGTTTAAGTTTGTAACCCGGATTTGTTTTTTTCTCAATCGATTTCTGAATTTCATACTACTGTTGCCTTTATCTATATCCATGTATTATGAAAAAAAGCCAATGGGATGATGTAACAAATAAACATCATCTGTAGTCATCTAATATTTCTAACTGTCATAAATCCATGATAGCGTCGTAAAACGTTCGTAGGTTACCTCGGACTTCATCCGTAGTAACAATTGGGTCCATTGCTTCCTTCTATACGGTAATGTGTTATCAAGGAAAATCTTGTTAGGAACCGATAGCTTTTGGATAACTAATCGAATTGAAGCTGTTTACTGCTTATTTAAACGCTATTTGTATGTTGCAACATTAACCTAATACAGTTAAGGTCTTTACATATATTGGGTCTCATTAATTAGCAACAAGAAGCGTCTAGAAGCGACGAAAAGCGACAAGAAGACTATTTAGCGACAAGAAAACTTAAAACAATTCTTATTAAACTAACTGATTCCGAATAAATGATATTGAAGATAACACTGAGTACCCACAATGTGGAACATCAAATGAAATGACGTTACTTAGTTTAAAAAAATGTGTCTAATCCATTTGTCCTTTTTTGAAAAAAAACATATATTTAGAAATTAATCAAATGAGAAAAGCGATACTGTTTGCGTGTCCTTTGTTTTATTTGCTACAATAACATCCAATTATCACCTTTAATTTTGTACACGTGTCAGACTATACTATTACACGCGCCAGAATATACAAATTTTGTAAATAGTAAACACTTGTTAAAACCTCAACATTGTCTTTAATTACCTTTAATCTTCAGTTATGCATAAACATGGTAAATATCGTTTAAGGTAGCTAGGGTGTCTTCCTCCATGTTGGATTTTGAAATACCAGAAAACAATCGGTCTACATCTTTAATGAAATGTTCAAATTTCGAGAGTAGTAGGTAATTCATGTGTAAGAATTTTTATGTTAATATAGAAAATGACATGTTTAATCATATTTATGACTGTATTTTACAAAAAGCAGAATACTTTTGTTTGATTCATTTTTTTCCAACTTTGCCACATAAGGGGAGACAACTCAAATGTAAGGGGAGATAATTCAGATAAAGTTACTTTTACTATAGAATGTGTTAGGAATTTACCTATTTTATTATGTAACAAGAAAACGAGTCCAGTGACCCCGTTTTTTTCTTTTTCTTATCTGAAGGCATATTATTAGAGCTATCTTCTCATATTCTATCTCAAAATTATATGGTGTAGTTTGTGTTGTATGGCACAAAATTTGGTTTTCCATGTGCAATCTATACAAAATCTGACAATTTTGCACAACCTGTAGCGTGAAAATCAGCCTAGTGACCCATACTTTTTATTATATTTTTGAAAATAGCATGATATAAATTACATTTTGACAAATTATTAAAAAATTCTATGGATTTTAATTTAGACCCCCCATCTACCTTAATGAGGCAATACACAGAATAAAATGATGTACAATACTGACGTTTTCCTCTTGTTTGATTTCAATAATTTCAGTTCATTCAAGGATTTTTTATAATAAATCTTATTATATAAATCCTTGGTTCATTGTTTCTCATAAATTATGTCTGGTTTTTGTTTCTAGACAATGATGCACAAATTATGCATTTTTCATGCGGTAAGTGTATTATATATTAGACAAAGAGAGTGTTAAAAAACATCATCAGATAATATATATAATTGTTCTAAAACACAAGTAAAAATTAATAGCATAATATGACAGGGAAAACCTAATATTTGCTGTACTATTTATCACAAATAAATGTAGCAATTAGATCTATGTTTCAAACATGTGTGATGCTTTACTACTATATATATTGACTTCTTTTATTTATTCATATTTATTGATAGAATATTAAATTTCTTGTCGCTAAATAGTGTTCTTTTCGCTAAATTATTCTTCATGTCGCTTCTTGACGCTTCTTGTCGCAAAAATTCTTCTTGTCGCTAATTAGTGAGACCGCATATATTGTTTTGTATATATAAAACTATAAATATACCTTTACCGTTCATCACATTGCTGTATTTAATCATTTCTGTAGTACAACCAACATCACCACAGATCAGCCAACAACTTCAAAGTATTTCTAACAATATCTTAGTACAGTCAATACCACCAGAGTGCAGGACAGCAGCAATCCGTATTACAGGTTAGTAGTACTTGATGCAATATTATATTGGTTGTATTTTAATTTGTGTATATATTATATCAATGACAGTTTTCTTTACTGATTTTCATTGGTTCTTTTTTAAACAGTTATTGGTAAACCTGACGAAATGAAATTTGATAAATAAACCTTATATTGTACAGATAACTGTTCGTTACATTACGTAAACCACAAATGTCATTTTATTCATATTCAAATGGATAGACCTTTATGAAAGAAATAGCAAGTGTTAACTCTAAAATGTTCAAGTTGATATACATGTAGTTATTCCTGGAGCAAAAAGTTCCAGCGTCATACATGACTAATGATTTATGGTGTAGCGAAATGCAGGAAAAATAAAGAAAATAAATGTTGTCTGCTCTATGGTCAGGTTGTTGCCTTTTTGACACATTCCCCATTTCCATTCTCAATTTTATTTAAGAATTGAATGCTTCTTTTTGTAACTTCATTGGGGTGTAAAAGCGTTGACCGAAGTACATTTTGTATGAAGTTGTAAAAATGTGCGCACGGTCAACGCTTTTACAACCCTATGAAGTTACAAAAAGAAGCATTTAATACTTATAATTACATTTTGTTTTGCTAGGATCATGAAAACACGATTTTTCTCAAGTTTTTGTTTAATTTACCTGTGCAATTTATTGTGGGACCTCGTGTCATCATGAATGATAAATTTTATTGTGTAATGAAGATGATTAAGGAATAACGCGAGATTGCAGTGTAGCCAATCAGAATAACGTATTACAATGAAACATACATCTAATGTTATTAATATGATATGAACCATCGAACATTCATGATACTCTAAATCATTAAATAAGATGATACGAAATATTGAGGTATTAGTAATCAATTGTGTTATTACAATTACTTAATTATTAATTGTAAAAAATCAATAGTAGGTATCTTTAAATATATAAGAAGATGTGGTATGATTGCCAATAAGACAACTCTCCATCCAAGTCACAATTTGTAAAAGTAAACCATTATAGGTCAAAGTACGGTCTTCAACGCGGAGCCTTGGCACACACAGAACAGTAACATATAACGTTTTGTTTCATTTATACGTTTTCAAAATTTTCTTTTCTCTGTAAAAAAAACCCGTGCATTATTGTTTTTATTTCTACCAAAATAAAGCATGTTATTTCATTAGCATGGACAGACGTGTTGGCAATAATGTTAATGGACTACATGTAAGTGAAAAAATAATATTCATTCCACTGCATGTTGATTTTGATAGCGAAATCAACATTTGATAGGTAGAAACTACCCCACGTGACGACAAACAACACTTCAGAACCCCTTTTGAGTATCATATTCCCCTCTGATCATCGGGATTGCCTTGTGCGACGTTACCCGCGGTTAATGTTTTAAAACGTTTTGATCGTTGATCGGGTTTTTTTTGAAAGATAGTATATTAATTCCGTATTCAAACACTCTTTCAGTTCTAACAACAAACGGAAATGAATACATAATTAACTTTTAATCGAAATTGATTATCATTGTGTTTTTTTGTTTTTAGTTATGAAAAAACTAACGGAAAATTATGTAAATTAATATCTTATGTTCAGACGCATTTTAACCTACTTTGTATTGATTCAAATTTACTGCACAGTGGTAGTATATATGATGCACATATTAGTTTCCAGATACTTACATTCACATTGACGAATTCCCCGTTAACAACTATCCAAAATACCGACCCATGCCTTCTCTTAATTCATCTTAATTCATCTTAATATTTCGTAATATAGTTTGATAAATTTGTTTCAATATGTTTGTACGATAGTGGACTCAAATGTGTCAATGGATATTGCAAGTATATATATTTTTTTCATTTCAGGTCTGTTTAACCATTTCGATATTAAACAGATTGCATTTGTCAAGTGCAAAAACAATATGCAAGATATGAAGATTGACTTTATTCATATTAGATGAAATTGTAAGACAATTGACGTCCGTTTATAACACGTACATGGTAAGAACGAGCGAAGACTTCACAGAGTGTAAAGACAATATACACTGGTAGACGACAGTGTTCAACATAACTTTTTGGGGTATATTAAAGAAAATAAACTAAGTGTGAATCATACAACTAAACGTTTATGATTGATGGAACTTCTTCCTTTCAGTGAACAGGAATTTCAATTTTGCAAAAAGAGACATGGTTACCATTGTTGTGCATTTCATTCAAAACTTTATTATCGATATTTATTTGGAGATGTAAACTAATGTTTCAAGTGTTCAACACTATTTATCCACCGCATATGTACCATGACCTTGATTTTCTCGACTACTTTCCTTTTAAAAAACAAAAATCATATAAAAATAAAGAGATGTTGTATGATTGTCATTGAGACAACTATCTACCAAGTCATTTGTATCAACATATTCATTTATGAAATAACATTGTAGCTGTAAAACATTTTGACTTTGTATTCTGTCATTTTCTGACACATTTAAACTCAGGAATTTTGTTGTTCCTTTGCTATATTTCGCTTCTTTTTACAGTTTTAATATTATCTTGTCTATGTCGATAACTATACCTATATTGGGGACTTTTTAAAAATACTTTCAATTGGAAAATGATAAGATTATATTGTACATTTGTACTAACATATGACAGGCCGATAACGTTTTTTCAGAAACTTATATACAAATAGTCGAACAATTTTCTGACCTTGGGTTCATTTGACCAATACTGATGACTCTTTTACTTCCTAAGGATGACTTTCACATTAAAAAATATCCACATTTATTTATATAATATGTGAACAAGCTTAACTATAAAACATGTTCACCTACATATCATGACAATACCTACAAAAACTGCATTTTGTATAAGCATGGTGCACTCCTTCAATTATTTACTACGAATAATCGATAAGAACTGTTGCAACACATATCATTAAACATCAAGTACCCAGCAAATATTATCAGGTCATAGAAATAAATGTTGGTCAATAGAAATAAATTGAAACAGTAATCTAGGAAATAAAGTGTCATTGTTGATTATCTTGCACTTTTGGCTAATTCTCCGTGTATAAAGAGGTAAGACCACTTTCCCCTGGTTTTTTGTTTTCTCCATTTGATCAGTTTGGTAAATAATGTTTCTAAATAGCCCGATAGATGCTAAATATAGTACATGAAAATACGTCACATCATTTACCTTAAACAGGTATACCTAAAATAAATATCAAAACCAATTTTGATTTGTCTTTGTTAACGCCCCTGAGGAGCATTACAATATTAATTATCAACTATTAGATATTCAAAATTAGTTTTGTTTTAGATAAAACATGTTGCATAAGTTAGCGTGTTAATGTTGGGATGCAATTTGTAGCTTAAATGTACTGTATAGCTTTGTTTAACTTCAAACTAATGAAACAATACAACAAACAGGGGTTACAAATTAATACAAAACGCATTTAATAATCTTATTATCTGATATAAATCAGCTAATATGATTGAAGATCGGTGTATAATGTCGAATGCATCTAACTGGTATGTTGTTTTACTCTTTCTTGATCTATATATCTCTTTCCTGGTTTTAAGGTTATGCTGTCTATATGAACTGAACAACATCAAACACCAGTTGGTACTAGAGCACCTTGTGTTACACACACAAGTAATTTGTGATACAGATACAACTTTCCTGGTGTTTTATCTACAATCGCGGTTGATAGTGCAATTGATTTTTTTCTGTGGTGTTATTTTGTTTTCTGATGTCAGACTTAGGACCGGTGCAGGGCCTGTTGTAACAATGTTAGAACTAGTATCTACCTGAGACTGCTATAACACATTAGTAGTCTTAGTATCTACACAGTTGGTGGATGGTGATACAATTGCTGTCTGCATTTGTTATATATAATATCATTTTGAAAAATATTATTGTTCAAGGTTTCGAAAAAAAAATTGTTGTTTTGAAATTGCTCTGCTGTGGCTTTTTTTCGTGATGAGTATATTACACATACAATAGTTGGACTTCATTGCTATATAATCATTTCTTGTGTTACTGGTATGTTCAAGCACGTTCTTCGGTTTGACGACAACTGTTCCTTGCGTTTATATAATAAATGTAGCTGTACTACGAAGTTAGTCAAGAGTATTAATAATAAATTTTAAACGTGTGCGCACGGTCAACGCTTTTACAACCCTATGAAGTTACAAAAAGAAGCATTCAATACTTATAATTACATTTTGTTTTGCTAGGATCATGAAAACACGATTTTTCTCAAGTTTTTGTTTAATTTACCTGTGCACTTTATTGTGGGACCTCGTGTCATCATGAATGATAAATTTTATTGTGTAATGAAGATGATTAAGGAATAACGCGAGATTGCAGTGTAGCCAATCAGAATAACGTATTACAATGAAACATACATCTAATGTTATTAATATGATATGAACCATCGATCATTCATGATACTCTAAATCATTAAATAAGATGATACGAAATATTGATGTATTAGTAATCAATTGTTTTATTACAATTACTTAATTATTAATTGTAAAAAATCAATAGTAGGTATCTTTAAATATATAAGAAGATGTGGTATGATTGCCAATAAGACAACTCTCCATCCAAGTCACAATTTGTAAAAGCAAACCATTATAGGTCAAAGTACGGTCTTCAACGCGGAGCCTTGGCACACACAGAACAGTAACCTATAACGTTTTGTTTCATTTATACGTTTTCAAAATTTTCTTTTCTCTGAAAAAAAACCCGTGCATTATTGTTTTTATTTCTACCAAAATAAAGCATGTTATTTCATTAGCATGGACAGACGTGTTGGCAATAATGTTAATGGACTACATGTAAGTGAAAAAATAATATTCATTCCACTGCATGTTGATTTTGATAGCGAAATCAACATTTGATAGGTAGAAACTACCCCACGTGACGACAAACAACACTTCAGAACCCCTTTTGAGTATCAAATTCCCCTCTGATCATCGGGATTGCCTTGTGCGACGTTACCCGCGGTTAATGTTTTAAAACGTTTTGATCGTTGATCGGGTTTTTTTGAAAGATAGTATATTAATTCCGTATTCAAACACTCTTTCAGTTCTAACAACAAACGGAAATGAATACATAATTAACTTTTAATCGAAATTGATTATCATTGTGTTTTTTTGTTTTTAGTTATGAAAAAACTAACGGAAAATTATGTAAATTAATATCTTATGTTCAGACGCATTTTAACCTACTTTGTATTGATTCAAATTTACTGCACAGTGGTAGTATATATGATGCACATATTAGTTTCCAGATACTTACATTCACATTGACGAATTCCCCGTTAACAACTATCCAAAATACCGACCCATACCTTCTCTTAATTCATCTTAATTCATCTGAATATTTCGTAATGTAGTTTGATAAATTTGTTTCAATATGTTTGTACGATAGTGGACTCAAATGTGTCAAGGGATATTGCAAGTATATATATTTTTTTCATTTCAGGTCTGTTTAACCATTTCGATATTAAACAGATTGCATTTGTCAAGTGCAAAAACAATATGCAAGATATGAAGATTGACTTTATTCATATTAGATGAAATTGTAAGACAATTGACGTCCGTTTATAACACGTACATAGTAAGAACGAGCGAAGACTTCACAGAGTGTAAAGACAATATACACTGGTAGACGACAGTGTTCAACATAACTTTTTGGGGTATATTAAAGAAAATAAACTAAGTGTAATTCATACAACTAAACGTTTATGATTGATGGAACTTCTTCCTTTCAGTGAACAGGAATTTCAATTTTGCAAAAAGAGACATGGTTACCATTGTTGTGCATTTCATTCAAAACTTTATCATCGATATTTATTTGGAGATGTAAACTAATGTTTCAAGTGTTCAACACTATTTATCCACCGCATATGTACCATGACCTTGATTTTCTCGACTACTTTCCTTTTAAAAAACAAAAATCATATAAAAATAAAGAGATGTTGTATGATTGTCATTGAGACAACTATCTACCAAGTCATTTGTATCAACATATTCATTTATGAAATAACATTGTAGCTGTAAAACATTTTGACTTTGTATTCTGTCATTTTCTGACACTCTCTTTTCAACTCAGGAATTTTGTTGTTCCTTTGCTATATTTCGCTTCTTTTTACAGTTTTAATATTATCTTGTCTATGTCGATAACTATACCTATATTGGGGACTTTTTAAAAATACTTTCAATTGGAAAATGATAAGATTCTATTGTACATTGTACTAACATATGACAGGCCGATAACGTTATTTCAGAAACTTATATACAAATAGTCGAACAATTTTCTGACCTTGGGTTCATTTGACCAATACTGATGACTCTTTTACTTCCTAAGGATGACTTTCACATTTAAAAATATCCACACTTATTTATATAATATGTGAACAAGCTTAACTATAAAACATGTTCACCTACATATCATGACAATATCTACAAAAACTGCATTTTGTATAAGCATGGTGCACTCCTTCAATTATTTACTACGAATAATCGATAAGAACTGTTGCAACACATATCATTAAACATCAAGTACCCAGCATATATTATCAGGTCATAGAAATAAATGTTGGTCAATAGAAATAAATTGAAATAAAAACAGTAATTTAGGAAATAAAGTGTCATTGTTGATTATCTTGCACTTTTGGCTAATTCTTCGCGTATAAAGAGGTAAGACCACTTTCCCCTGGTTTTTTGTTTTCTCCATTTGATCAGTTTGGTAAATAATGTTTCTAAATAGCCCGATAGATGCTAAATATAGTACATGAAAATACGTCACATCATTTACCTTAAACAGGTATACCTAAAATAAATATCAAAACCAATTTTGATTTGTCTTTGTTAACGCCCCTGAGGAGCATTACAATATTAATTATCAACTATTAGATATTCAAAATTAGTTTTGTTTTAGATAAAACATGTTGCATAAGTTAGCGTGTTAATGTTGGGATGCAATTTGTAGCTTAAATGTACTGTATAGCTTTGTTTAACTTCAAACTAATGAAACAATACAACAAACAGGGGTTACAAATGAATACAAAACTCATTTAATAATCTTATTATCTGATATAAATCAGCTAATCTGATTGAAGATCGGTGTATAATATCGAATGCATCTAACTGGTATGTTGTTTTACTCTTTCTTGATCTATATATCTCTTTCCCGGTTTTAAGGTTATGCTGTCTATATGAACTGAACAACATCAAACACCAGTTGGTACTAGAGAACCTTGTGTTACACACACAAGTAATTTGTGATACAGATACAACTTTCCTGGTGTTTTATCTACAATCGCGGTTGATAGTGCAATTGATTTTTTTCTGTGGTGTTATTTTGTTTTCTGATGTCAGACTTAGGACCGGTGCAGGGCCTGTGGTAACAATGTTAGAACTAATATCTACCTGAGACTGGTATAACACATTAGTAGTCTTAGTATCTACACAGTTGGTGGATGGTGATATAATTGCTGTCTGCATTTGTTATATATAATATCATTTTGAAAAATATTATTGTTCAAGGTTTCGAAAAAAAAAATGTTGTTTTGAAATCGATCTGCTGTGGCTTTTTTTCGTGATGAGTATATTACACATACAATAGTTGGACTTCATTGCTATATAATCATTTCTTGTGTTACTGGTATGTTCAAGCACGTTCTTCGGTTTGACGACAACTGTTCCTTGCGTTTATATAATAAATGTAGCTGTACTACGAAGTTAGTCAAGAGTATTAATAATAAATTATAAACGCACACAAAAAACTACACATTGTTTTTGTTTTTCTCTAATAAAATGATATATAGTCAAAACGATCCATTATGACTATGAATTAAACAAATAATTAAATAAAAATATAATTAAAACATTACAATTTGATATTTCAACACAAACAATGCAAAAATCTGCGTGAGATTTGAACCCTTTTTTTAAAAGCAATTATCATTCACAGTTATATACTCTACCGATAGAGCCACGGCGACTCATATATACATACTTGTTATTAAGCAGCTATATAGGTACAATTAAGATATGCTGACCTTTTTTTTCTTAAAAAAAGTAATTTTCTAGGTATTAAGGACACACTAAATCAATTTCAATTTTGAGTAAATAAGTTGTATAAAGTACAACTACAACACAAAACTTAACTATGTTTTGGTTTGAAATGTCCACTTGTGGTATTCTCTGGGGTTTTTTCA